GCCCCCCCTGGCAGCACGGAGACCCCTCTGTGCGGCCCACCGTGAGATGGCGGCTTCCGCCTCCGGCGGCCAAGCCCACCCCAGCCGGGAAGAACCCGGCGGGCTGAGGGAAGGGGCCTGCAGGCTGTGCTGGCACCGCAGGGAGCGGGCCGTGACACGGAGGGGACTGCAGCCTCTGCCCACGACCCAGCGAGCACCGGAGACGGCGGGACTGGACGTGCCGCACGCCGCGCTCTGCGCTGCCCACACCAACGGGCACCGACTTCTCCATGTTTCTACAAATCTGCTTCACAGGTGTGGGAAAAAGTCTCCAAACCGGAGCTGGTCCGGAAGCGCCGATAACCGACTAAAGCAGCAATGCTTACCCAGAGAGATCAGAGATTCATTCTTCCCTCGCAGCACGTTTTTGTACAGCTCCCTCTGCCACTCCTCCAGATTCTCCCACTCTTGAGCAGAAAAGTAAGCGGCGTTGCTTTCAAAGGTCACCGGGGCCTGCAATCGCACAAGTGACACGCTCGGCACCGGGCCTGGAGCCGGGAGCCAAGGAATCCTCGATTTCTACTTACTACTGCGACCTCGATTTCTACTTACTACTGCTACCTCGATTTCTACTTACTACTGCTACCTCGCATCAAGAAAGGAGAAAAAAATTCCTGCCTTGGGGCATCCTCACGACACAAAGAGACTGATGGCTCGGATCTGCAGTTTAATGAACTTTGCTAATTCCCAGAGGACAAGCTGTGAATTCCCCGATATCCTTACCTCCCGCTGTGCAGGGCCCAGTGCCGTCACACAGGCAAGTCTGGGGCCCTCGGTGTGGGGAAGGACCTCCCGTCTGCTGCAAAAATTGCGACAACCTACGCTTTCGCAGCGAGAGACGGATGAATCTAAACAAATACACCTGAGCAATCGCTCCCTGCTCGGTGCTTACGTACAGCAGGCGAGGAGAGCAATCACAAGCTAAGCTGTGCCTGCGGGGTTCACCGAACGTTTCGGGCGGCTTCCGAGGTGTGCGGGAGCTGGAGGGAGCAAAGCAGCCCCCTGCCCCGCTCGGTGTGTCCCCCCAGAGCCCTTAACGAGCCATCTGTTACCTTGGGGACCTCAGCCCCGGGGGGCAGCTGCAGGATCCAGAAATTCTTGTTCTTCAGCAGGTTCTCCATGTTCTCCAGGCGCCGCTGGAGCTGCCCGTACTCCTGGATGAGGGTGCCCAGCGCAGTCCACTTGCTCTCCAGCTGGTTCCCGAACTCCACCGCCGTCTTCTCGCAGCCGATCA